GAAAAAAATGGATCATTACATTTTAAGTTTGTCATAAAAACAAATCTTGCTTGCATTTTCAATCTTTGAATCCTCCACACTGTATAGATGTAAGGTAAAAAATAAAACTTGCAGATGTAGCTTTTACTGTATATGAATAGAACATTTCAGGTATTAAAGGGTTCTCTTGGGATGCACTCACAATCACCGGGTGTTAGCAGAAATAGTATAAATAGTATTTTTTAATAGACCATTGTGTATATACTGTATCTGTAAAATGTAGGAGAGAAACACTATGAATATTCTGTATAGTTGCTGTATGTACTGATAGGCACTTGATAGTCATATTCCCTATATCCCACAAGGTACTGTATACTCTGGCTGTCTTTATCAAACTATTTGAAATGTATTCCCCATCTGTGTGGCAATGGTGATACTTAAATATATATAGTATATCTGTAAGAAGTTATCTATGTCATTCTTGTGTACTGTAGAAGGCCCAACAAAGAAAAATGCTGTTAAGTATTATCTGAATGTGTTTTCTGTACTCTACTCTTTGTGACTTAATTCAAGCTGAAACAGTTCGGACTTAAAAATGTGTGGAGACAGACTGAAAGACAAACAGGAAGACAGACGCATGCTTATCAGAATAAAATGAACCTGTTCCTTACTCAACATCACCCTCACCATTACAATCTCCCATTTCCTTGTTTTCATCTCAATGCAAAGCATATAGGCATATATAGTACAATGTGAAATATGACTAAAAAACTGACTATCCTTTATCCAGTTGCGTGAAGCTATGTATTTATAAACAACAGCACTATGATCACCATAAAAAAGCAGGAGGAAGTCTGAAATAAAGAAGTATAACGATGAATTAAACATACTGCAAGAAGGACAACAATGTACTGTAGACCCTGTGTCTCTACACTAGATAAACAAAACATGAACAGTAATATATTTGAAACACAATACAAACAGCTGCAGGCTCAAGGCTAGTATCTACTTTTCAATATGTTTTGTTCTGGAAAATATGCAAACACTTTGCAAACATAAAGTCTAGACTTTTTTTTCTTTTAAACTAACATCTAGAAGAAGCACGATTGAGATAAGGACTTATTTTCTGGATAAATGTTGCAACTTTTCAACAATTTTCAACCAACTTATTCGCGACACTCAGAAAAGAGAATTAAGCACCACCACGAGTAGCTGAAGCAGTATAAGGAATATATAACCATGGACAGTGTAGAGCGTGTGATGCTAATGCAACAGGAGGGATGCTATAGCACGTTATGACACACCGCAGAGAAGCTGTCTGCCTCAAACACCTTATGATACAACAAGTCAACTGACCATGGGACGAGCTATTAGCCCTCATCCGGATAACGTCGAGATCGGCTACTTTTGTTATTCCAAAAAAAAGAGAGAAACAATTGATAGTGTAATTCTGAAATCAAATATTTCAAAAAACGAACAACAAGCTACTTAACCTACTATTTAGACCAATGATACCACAAAGCTGGTTGTACTCATCTAGCTACAGTCAATAGTGCATTTGATATATGTGTTTACACAAAATATGTAAAATGTAGGTGCCATGAAGGAATGCTAGATTACTGAATACATACATTACACGTTATTGAAACAATTCATGTCTCTGCCTTTGCTTTCGAAGAAGTGATGATGCTAGCTGGCAGTGTTTAACTTGGTATACTGAACAGACAACAAACACCAACACCATGAGCTGTGTGCCATACATGTGGCAGTACTGTTGGAAAGAGATCTCGGCAGTTGCTAACATTTTCTATTTAGTGCATTGTCTGTTAAGGCATGAGATTACCCTCCACGTGCTGTGTAGAGACAAATATAGCACTAGCATGCAGCAATATTGCCATCCTGGCAACAACAGCTACAAACATGAACCATACAGTTTAGGCTTATATGCACACCATAGGAGACAGGCCCAATCAAATGTTAAATAATGTGCTACTTTTACTGAGGACTAACCTCCTGCTTTTTCACTATATTTATCACATGTGTCCATTTTCTTTAGCTGAGGAGAAACCAGAATACAGAGTCTCCTCAGGTCTCACATGTTCAACACTTGACTTCATTCCACAGGGTTTGAAAATCTAGTAGCAATTATATGAAACTTGAAAATGCTGGGTATCATTTCTCCAAACGGGAACAATGAAGTACAAGAGTACTTGACCTCAGCTTTCGTCAAATCCCAGAACATATGTCACAGGTGCCGTATTAGCCCAAAAGGTTTGGAGAGCTGCTTCTCATAGTACCTGCGCTGCATATTGCAAAGGAAGCCCTACAGTTCAGATATTCCACTTATTAACAGATTGATTAGGCTATATACCGCACAGACACTCACAGACATACGAACACTAAGGAAGGGACACGACTGACAGACACATATCAAAGAAGCTGCATTCCATCACCCCCCACACCCACAGAAAATTGTTCTAGGACACACATATCATTTATGTTACACACACACACATTATAAATGTAATATTATTAATCATATAATAATAGTTATTATTATGACCTCCTCCAACGGAGTTGGACGGGAGTTGCGTTTGTTAAACGGTTTCACTGTTAATGTTGTTTGGCTTGGATGTTCTCAGAGGAAAATTCTGTCTGTTTCTAAAGAAATGCGATTGATAACTGTTATAAGGAGCTGACTCCATAAAAAGAAAGAATTAAAAGGTTAAAACATAGATGAGCACACATAATGGTACATATTTAAATAAAAAATAAATGCTTGCGTTAACACGGCACGAGGATATACTGTAGGTAAGTGCAAGCGATAACAAAAGCCAAGAACCGCTGAATTACTTAATGAATAAATTGAAACAAAGCTATTCTATTACATGTGAACTCTACAACCAAATGTTAGATACAAAAAAAAAATCCTCTTTTCTAAAACTATAATATCTCTGTTAACAGTAGTGCACTTATTGGTTTAAGCAGTGCAACATATATGCAAGTAAATAATGCAGTCCACTTATCAAGATTTAAAAAAATGTTTTTTTTTTTTCCTTTGAAATTGAATAAAAGAAAATCATAGAAGTTCATGTAAGGAAAACGATTAAATAGTAAGCACAGGCATTTTAAGAAAATGTGCAAAGTAGCACTTTGTTTTTTTGTTTTTTTTAAATCAACAGCAGGTCTTTTTAAGACCACTGTATGCAGTTATTTATTCTTTTAACAATACAACTACGAAAGTGTTTGCTCACATAAATGAGCAAATCCTTCAGATTGCAGTTGTAGGCAGTTGCGTGTGTGTGTGTGTGTGTGTGTGTGTGTGTGTGTGTGTGTGTGTGTGTGTGTGTGTGTGTGTGTGTGTGTGTGTGTGGTGTGTGGGTGTGTGTGGGTGTGGGTGTGTGTGGGTGTGGGTGTGTGTGTGTCCTATATCGAATAAAAAGCAATACAAAACAAGTCAAATATCAGAAATGAGCCTTACGTGATGTGATACATGGATGACAACTTGCACACACTAGCTTCCAATTCTATTCTGTACATGCTGTGTCTAGGTTTTAGAAAATTCAGGAATGTATTCTATTGTGTAGAAAGTCCATCTGCAAGTTGTGGTATATCACGAAACAGTGTGAAATCAATGGAGCTACTTGTTTTGCTTTGACACTGTACTTCCTTTCAAAACGTTGCGTGCCATTTCTGCCTTCAGGGAGAGCTGATACATGAAGAGAAATGCATTTAGCTCCCACTTACTGAAATAGCTATGCAATAGTAATGAACAGGTGGTACAGCGCTTCTAGGATCAGGGTGGCATTTATTTCCGATTGTGTCAAATTAAATCCCCCCCCCCGAGTATTATAATAAAATTATCAAATTACAACCATGTAGGCTACTCAATAACAACACTTAGAGTGACAATTTTAATCTACATCCCATAGTAGTTGGGTGCAAGTTGAGGAGCAGCAATTATGAAGGAGAGAGTTTAGTTGCATTTTGCCAGCCTGCCATAACTGTGAATGTGAAAGGCTAACATAAACCATCAGCAAAACAATCTTTCTTTCTCATGTTTTGAAATGGAAGAGGTCTATGAGCCTTAACAGTCTTTTAGGATATTAGTGGCAGTGTATGCAAATGGGTTAAACTCCAAACTTCAGAAAAAAAGAAACATGTTTTTGCTCAAATACTGTCTCATCAACACACCCTAATTTAGTAAACCATCAAAATGCATGGACAACAATTACAAAACATATGAGAAATATTTGTCCCTGTCACCACCGACAGGAAATTACATTTCAGTAAAATGATTGAAATTGGTACCTTGACAACAGCTGCATTATAATCCCTTAATACCATAGGAATAAATAAAACCCAGTGTCAAATTAACTAGTCTCCTTTTTTATTTTACATAAGAAGGCAATCTTGTGACCATCAGTATATTTTAGAGGGAATATGTAGCCCAACCCCAGATGATTTTTTTTTGTTATTGTTGTTGTAAATTATACCACAGTAAGCTTGGACATCTATAGTTTCCAAACTGGTCAGCATGGGTTCTCAACTGCCATGATTTATGTTTCATGGCAATGTACACACACACACACACACACACACACACACACACACACACACACACACACACACACACACACACACACACACACACACACACACACACACACGGACAAACAGACAGTAACATGCAAATAAGCAAACGCTCCAACATGTACGCACACGTATATCCATTCAGACACATCTACTCTAAAAGGTGTGTTTGTGTGTATGTGTTTCTTTCATAGGCCTTTCGGTAGTGTTCAACACATAAATCAGTATTTTAGGAAAGCATACATTTAGAGGCCTGTAGTTAGGATCCATCCAGTAGATCAATATCAAACTACTAAGCCTTAAGGCCACCATCTTTTTTTTCTTTTAGAATAACAGAAAAAAACAAAAAAAAGATTTTTTTTTTGGGAAACTTAATGTGCCAGTGTCTATACTCATTACTCTTCATACCTCAAAATAAGAAAAGGAAAATCTAGTGCCATTTTATTTGTCATTCTTTTTTAAAGAAGTTTATCTATTAGTACTTATCCATCGGAGACATGCATTCGCATGTGGTCATTGAAGTGCTCCATTTGGTCGAACTTGGCAGGGCAGACGGAGCACACGTAGGTGGTCCCTTCTTGGCAGCTGGCTTCTGCCGCTACACCCACTCCTGTTCCAACCCCAGCCCCAACTCCAGCACCTGCGCTCACCGGCATGGCGAGGGCCATCACTCCTGCCCCCAGCTCAGGGACCACCAGAGGCATGGGGATGGAGACGGGCCCCTGGGTGCCTACGGCCCCTGACATGATGGCGCTGCCTGTGCTGTGCAGGGCCATGTGGCGCTCCAGCAGGGTCTTGTGTGAGAACTTCTTCTTGCAGATGTAGCACTCATAGGACTTCTCTCCACGGTGTAGCCGCATGTGGACGTTGAGAGAGCTCTTCTGGGTGAAGCGCTTGCTGCAGATGCTGCACTGGTAGGCCCGCACCCCTGTGTGTGTCACCATGTGTTTGATTAAGTAATCCTTCAGGGAGAACGAGCGCCAGCAGATGCTGCACTGATGAGGCTTCTCACCTGGATGTACATGCAAGACAAGGCATTCAGGGGAAAAAGAAGAGACATATTTTGAGGATTAGGTTTACAAAATATGGAACACTTGACGCCTGAAGCCTCCACTGTTACTTTTCCAGTACAGGAACATACCTCAGGCTAGAATTATTTAAACTTGCATTAACATTGTTATGTTGGTGCTTCCACTATGTGTTGTATGCTACAGCTTTGTGAGAAAAGAGTTCCTATAATGAAGCTCTGATGCAGTTATTGGCAACATGTACGCATTTATATTTATGGAAAGTAAAAAATGATGCAATGACTCTACAGACACAGAAAGATAAAGTTAAGAGGATGAATTTGAAAGCACAGAATAATATTCATTCCAATTTGAGAGCAAATTATTTCTCCATCTATCTGGTATTTTTGTCAATTTGTTCAGGCGTAGGCTCATATTTGTGACAGCATTGGCTGTAAAATATTAACATTTGAATAATTAGGTAAACCTAACAGGTAGAGGAAGAGACTGATAAAACTGTGAATAGGCAATTTGTGTCATGCAAGTTAATGAAGTCCTGTTAATCTACTGTTTGCTGCGGCACTGAGTGAATTAATGTACTTGTTTCAATTTAATGAAGCCAATGATTAATACTCTTACTTTTTGTACTTTTTAACTGAAATAAAAACAATTTATGTTGTATTAAATACTCAGTTTATTCTAGGGACAGCCATACAATATTATGGTTAATCATACAGACGTTGTGTTCCTTTTTGAAAAATATTTGTTATAAGATAGAGTAAAGGTAATTATCTTTTGATTACCATGAGACATTCAGATTATTCTCTGCTCTGCACAACTGTGTGAGTCGAACTGGGACATTTTGTTTGAAATAGCCGTCAAAGGCGGCTCTGGACAAGCAATGGTTTCTAATGAATAATAATGGCTTTTTGAGCAGGCAATTTTTCTGAGATATTCTAATTATATGACATCTAATTCTTGCTATGTGGGATGATGATTTCTATAGTTTATGATGGATAAGGCTGTCAGTGCAGGAGTGCACAGTGTAATGATGTGCTGCATGAGCAATCTACTGGCACTGGGAATTAGATCAAAATGTTAACAAAGTCAACAGTTTTTGTACTTTTCCAGTATGGAAACACAGCTAACATACCTACTATACAATGTGTTTTAATAGTATACACTAGGTATTCATTTAGTTTCATCGAGTACAAGCCTCGGTACACACATCATATTTACTGTGTTAAAATGACACAGCCCTATTGCAAAAAACAAATCGAAATCAAATCCTTTTTCTCTAAAATTGTTTTGTATTATGATTAGGAAACATTATATCTTTCACAATCAGAGTATTTGAATCAGTTTTTACCTCTGATATTTCTATTTTTCAAGTATTTCTGCAACGACAACCTTCATTAACAATGGATAACACAAACATTAAATTAAGCCTATTAACATTGAAAAAAGCATTGCTACAAATAAGACTGTTGGACTCACCAGTATGGACAAACATGTGTTTGACGAAGTTCTGTTTGGCAGTAAAGGTTTTACTGCAGAGACTGCATTCATAGGGCCTCTTTTCCCCCGGACCTCCTGCGACCTGTTGCTGCTGACTTGGCGAATGCTGTACCGACATGGGGTGCGGGAATGATGGCATTGCAGGAGGCGGCACGGCCACAAACTGGGATTGCTGCTGGCCGGGAAGGTAAAGGAAAGGCTTGTTGTCTCTCGGCGGCTGTGTAGGAAAGAGTGTGGGCAGGAAGGAGTTTCCAGCGGGGCCCATCACTTGGGAATTGCTGGTCACGGTGAGCGGCATCCTCAGGTTGCTGGTGTGTGATTCTGCCGTGCGCATGTAGTGCGGGGCACCTGTCAGGGGCATGACTGAGTTTGGCAGGGGCTGCATCATGCTACTGTCACTAGTGCTGTGGGATGTGTCCCCGTCCTCCGGGTCTTGCACTTGCTCCGGGGACGAGTCGTTGACCTCTATATGCACCGGACCCCCCTCACCTTGGTGGCCGTCCCCGACCCCTTCTCGGGTGAAGCCCAGGTATGGCTGCTGCTCCATAGCATCTGGCTCAGTGCTGATGGAGGAGCTCACCCCTGAGTCAAAACTTTCAACCTTGGATTCACTCTCCACGCCCTCAGTATGATCAGTGTCGTCGTGGCAGTCCACCAAAGTGTCGTAGCAGCTGTACTCGTCGTCGGCCTCCTGCTTTATGTGTACCCCTCCTGTTTGAATGCGTACCGGTCGGGGCTGCTTGCGGCAGTGGGTGGACTCGGCTGTGGAGATGAAGCGGCCCACCTGCTGAGATCTCTCCTGGATGCGGTTCATCCAGGGCGGGTCTTGAGATTGCTGGTTCTTCTGAGTGCTGAGGGTCGGATCGTAGTTTGTCGACATGGGGTCAATGTACAGGGAGCGCTCGCGTTTGCCGTTCTGCTGAGTGAGGACGGGGTAGGAGTACAGTGATGTGTATGCACGGTCCATGCTTTGTGATGTTGCTTGCATATAACCTGACTCTGCGTCGCTGCTGGGCCCAGAGGTGCCAGACTCTGGCGTGCCACGCGGTGTTTCCTGACCAGAGTCTCCCGGTATGATGGGGAACCCCCCCGGCCCAGCCAGGCCCACATTCTGGGACACGATGCGAGTGCACTCATCGATGACGGTCTTGATCTGTAGGATGCTGGCCGCAGTGAGGATCTGCAGGGCCTCTGACTGAGACACCCGCAGGATCCCACTGTACATAAAGTCAATCAGCTTCTGGACCGACTGCACTGAGACCACCGAAGGGATCTCAATGTCGCTGTACCCCAAGAGCAGCTTGTCCTGAAAGAAGGGGCTTCCAGCAGCCAGCACGCACCGGTGAGCTCGCAGCATACTTCCATGGATCCGAACAGTCACGTCACAGAAGTGCCCACGGTTGCGCTGCTCATTGAGGGTCTCAAGTACAGAATTGCTGAAGTTGTGGAGATTGATGTTATGAATGCGCTCGGTCATCCCCTTGCAACTGATGTCACCTGCAGGCGGGAAGCAACACACCGGACTTAAAAACTCTGACACACACTTAAATCATTATTCACTGCATTACACACACACTGGTATTCCTATCATGAGGTTTTTACAAAAATATTCTTTTGCCTCATGTATTATAACAATATATTTACATATTTGGTTTCAAGTAAGACCAATATATGAGAAATAGAATTGTGTAGTCAAATAAATAAATTCACACTATGTGAGAGAACAGAATGTTCATAAGTTAAAAAAAGGGTTGTAATTTAGAAAACAACCATGAGTACTATAGTACTATTAACTAATTAATTACCAAATATTATTTGTTGATTAAATATATTATGTGTTTTATTGATGTGTATTTTTACAGAGATAACATTAAAAACATGATACAAGTATTATACTTATTTTATTTATTTGAATATTTTTTCCCCCCCCATTTAATAATGTAGGGATCAGAGTCAAATCATTTCAACATGTGAGCTAAATGTGTCTCTTGAATCGTGATTTCAACATTAGCCACTGAAAGGGCGAAAGACAATTAAGATGGTTCCCGTGTAATTATTTCCAGTTTCTCTTTCTGTGTATTCCTGAATTTCCTCCAACCGCCAGTAGGTGGTGCACTGGGCTTAGCTGAGGACAGGCCTCTTTTGTTAGCCATGTGTTCACTGTGATGGCGCTTCCTAACTATCCTAGGAATACAGTAGATGTGACCCGGCTGATCAGAGTGAAAGATAACTCAAGATTTTCCCTCCAGTTAGAAGTGAAAAAATTTGAAAATCTAAATCTAAATTACAGAGGTAGTAAGTGTAGGAATTATGTGAATTGTGGGTTCTATAATTGCTGTAAAATTAATTTATTCTGCATTTAAACATGCTTGACTTTAATTTAATTAAAGCGGTTGACCTTATTTTAATGATTATTAAACACAGCCCTTTTTTCTTGAATGTCCTCATAATGATCTTGGAAACTGTACTTATACATGTTAATGAAACGTTATGGATGCTTTTCACACTATTTCAGTAAGTAACAAATATATTTATGAAAATATATTGATGATGAAATGTCAGGATCTACACATAACTATTGTATAAATGGAATACAAACTTGGACATGAAAGAAGCCTAATCATTTTGAAACTGTTTTATAATGTGTAGAAATCAATTGAATGATGGTATTAACAATAAAACCCTGCTTTAGAGTAACAGATGTGTCCATCCAAATGAAAAGGAGTTTACCTCAAATGAACTGCATAAGCAGTGTTATAGCTTTAGCACAGAGTATTAACGCTTGTTCCCAGCTTAGTTATTTATAACATACATGTAAAGGGGAAAAACAAAAGCTGTAGCCTTCCAGTACTCACAGTTAGATGACGTTTGGTTCCAAAGATGCTTGTGGCTGGTGATGAAGTGCGGGTCGAGCTTCAGTTTGCTGGTGGAGATGGCTGATCAGAGGCCGGGCGCTAGGCAAGGCTGTCAGTCCTCTCCGTCCAAATCATGTGTTTCCCTGCCACAGTGTTTGGAGGGGGGGAGAAAAAAGACAAAGACAAATCTTAATGCCACATACTGCCTCGTCGATATTGCCACTCCCTTAATGAACCGGGAGCCGAAGTAACACAAATATCTTCCACAGACACGCTGCAACAGATGTGTGAAGACTTTTCAAAGCAAGGCGAATGGACGTTCCTGTGAGCACATGGCCGCCAATTACAAATTGAGGTTGCAAATCATTTTGGTATTACAGCCAGTGGGTTTCTCAGCAGTTATCTGAGCCGCCGGGCAACAGAACCACACCCTTCCAAAGAAATAACTATCTAAATTCCAACATTTTGCCAGATTAAATATTTCAGAAAAGGTCTCAGCCACACTCAGAGTGTTTGGGAGTGTGTGTGTGTGTGTGTGTGTGTGTGTGTGTGTGTGTGTGTGTGAGAGTGTGTGTGTGAGAGTGTGTGTTCTTTATCAATTTCAGATCCACATATTACTAAACAAGACAATGTCTAATACAGACGTAGAGCAGACGTTAGAAGTTGTAATAATAGTAGAATATGTCAGATATTAAACACACAAAGGCACTCATTCATAAACACAAGACAGGCATTCAGCAACGTTTAGCATGTGATGAGCTGGTTGTGTATCGTAATATTATGCCAAGGTTTGACCTCAAAAGTAGAAACAAAAATGTTGTAAAACTGACCAAATTAAAGCCACAAACACTGATATAATTTAGGTTCAGGAAAGCTATACAAATTAAATACATTGAACCCATGAAAAATGCCCCTACAATTCTCATTAGTCTCACGCTCATTAAAGTGCCTTCCAATATTTCAACCCCATAGCTTTTAAAGTATGTTGAAATTACTCTGTGTATCAGGAGGTGGGAATATATCACTCATTGGCGTTTGTATCGTAATCACAATTGCGATCTGAACTCTCTTTTTTTTTGGGTGAAAAATGTTACATAGATGTCACGCTGGCTACAACAGGGACATCAAGTGCTCTCTGTGAAATGCCAAAAACAACAGTGTGTTGCTAAATGAACAGAACAGGGCTAGGGATTGACCAGACCTCCATAATGTTGACGCATTATTCTTTTACGAGAGTGCTTTCAAACACACCTCCTGCTTTGAGACACTGGGGTGAAATCTACAAATGCAAAGCATGTGATTTTAGGCAAGTGACCTCTGGGTTTTTCCCACAGAGGTACGAATGTATCAAAATGGTGAAATAATACGAGGATTTTTATCCTTAGTTTTGTGCGGAAGAGCAGAATATTTGAAAGAAAAAAACAAATCTGAGGGGTTAGAGTTTCAAATCTGAAACGGCTGTCCACAGGCCCCACTTTGAGAAGTACTGCGGCCAGAGAGATGTGTTCGTGTTTTCTTGAAATACCCTCGTTAAATCTGATGATTAGATATAGACAAGTAGTAGCGTGTTTAGCAGGGAGATCACTCGATACTGAGTTGGACTATTCTCTGGCACTAACACACACACACAAACACACACACTGGTTAGTGTTTCCGTCTCGGTAAGGACAGGAAATATATTTTACAGTGAAACCCTTAACCCCTAAATCTAAATGTTAACTTTGTTCTAACCTTAGCTCTAAATGGTAACTGTAACCTCTAGCCCTTTTACACAAACTAACCGTTCTAATACCTAACTTAAAAACTCGATCAGCCAAAAGCACAAACCATTCTGTAGGAGTAACCCTTTCCTTAACCCAACCGCTTTCACTGAGATATTTAAAAATGTACTTAGACAACCGTAAAACTCACAACAAATATCAGGTAAGTCCTGCTCTTTAGAGAACAGCACACATACACACGAGCCAAAATGCTTGAATCCATAACGTTCGCAAATATTTGACCTTTAGTATTTTCCAGCAGTGGTTAGCTTGAGATCTAACTGTATTTCTGGTGCCACAGGCCTTTTTTGTTTGTGTTCTCTTGCAATGCAAACATGTATGTTCCCTCTTTGGCTTCCCTGGAACATCCAGACATGTAAATCCACCTGCCTGAGGGGTAAAGTGAGGTGAATGCTGGTAACAAAGGAGTAGGCCAAGGGAAGCAGGCTTCAGTTGCCCAGACTGCCACTCACAACAGTGATTCCATTTTAGCCGTGACACAGTGGGTGAGCAGCAGCCAGCGCCTACCTGCAGTGAATTCTAATCAGCCCAGGGGTCTGTCTCCCTCCCCTCCCTCCCCCCCTTCCTACCGCCCTCCCTCCTG